CCCGAAGAGGGCCCGGACGGCCTCCCGGAAACGACGATCAAGCGCCCAGTTGGAAGGCATTGGTGCCCGAAGGACCGGCTGAAGGTCACATAAAGAATCGCGGCCCGTGGTGTTGTGACCTAAAATATCAGTCAGAGGCCTTCTTGCGCCGTTTGAGGACCCCTGAGACAATGCGAGTGTCTAAGTCGGCCAGATACCACGAACACCAAACAGTTGGTTCCGTGTCGGTCTGAACCCTGGCGGCCCTCTTCCCAAGCAGGAGCAAGGCCGGGGCCCACGACTTGCCTTGGCCTGTGTCCCTAAAGGAATGATCGGGACTCCTGTGTCGACCAGAGGACCACGGCACCTAGCAGGAGGCTTTGTATCGGCAAGCGGTCCCACGTCCGTCACACTTTTTGTATGGGGAGATGCGAAGAGGGACCGAAGACCAAGGGCCTGATTGGAAGGCTGAAGGGACAAAGGGCCCGAAAAACTGCCTGTAAGTCACGATGAAGACTTCCCCCTTTCCCGCAGGGCCATGACCTTAAATGTCAGTCAGAGGGCTTCTTACGTCAGTTGGCGACCCGTGAGACAATGCAGACCCCCATTTCGGCCAGAGACCACCAACACTGAACAATTTGCTCTACTCAGGTCTGAGCCCTATGGGTCCATTTCCCAATTTCTGGTCGGGCTCTCTGACAATGAAAGGAAACATGATAAGTTACGGTGAGAGTTTACATCGAGACAATGGGAAGGGCCTGTGTCCGTCACAGCCCCCATTAGCTAGCGGTGGTTCCATGTTGATGCTTAGTTTTGACATGTTGATACTACTTTTTGATCCATTTGATCTACAACCTACAAGGTCAAGCGGTCCTCCACATATGTGTAGAACCCAGATCAGAGATCTGGCAAAGCTGTTCAGTTATATCGGTTGAGACAGAGTTCAATAAGCCATAGTTCAATGAAGAGCACCAGCAACTTATTCCGTGCAGTCGTTTAACGTCTGATTTTTTCAGTTTGCTGTTTTTTTGCACGATAATTAGTCTCGCGGTAGCTTCTACTTTGTGTCCCAGTTATAGAAGGTTTAGATAATAATAAAACAAAGAAAATTGCGCGTTCATAAACAGGTTAACCACACTCAGTGTTTCTTGTTTTTTTTTGCGGGGAGCCATTTACTATCAGGGAGATTTGCCTTGCTGAGCCCTGTGACCCCTTGCCAACATTCTAGCTGCGCCCCTGCCCCCTCTCTCATGGAACCCCTCACTGGCATGGGAAAAATTCTGATGGCATGCTTGCCACAAAATACAATAAAAAAGCTAAAGTCAGCAAAGACATTGAAGAAAAATACCCAAATAATCTGCGTAATAATCGCCATACTCGTATATATCGTTATATTTGCGTAAATATCAGCCAAAATAACAGTGCCATGGTCAACCAAATAAGACGGCAAGTGCCAGGGCTCACCCATTAAAGACCGGCACGGTGCGGCGGGCATGCGAGAGCTCATCACGACAGCTCACTCCCCGCCGCTGCGCCCAGCTATTCACTGAGCCATCCGCGCTGACCAATCTGCAGACCACGCGGCGCCACGGACAAAGCGTCACGCGCTCGGAAATCTGAGAGCCAATCTTGGACGGACCGGTCGGCCGGCGCTGAAGACTGCAGCCATCTGTCGAACACATGTTCCTGGGGATGGTCAGATCGCCGTCATCGCAGATATGATGCTACATTGTGTGCCGACCAGGGCGCCCTGTCATCTGGCCACCTGTCGTGTCCCGCCTACCTACGAAAAAGGCGAGTTGCATTAAAGCTTCAGCTGAGCTCGTATCTGGTTCGGCTGTGTGTCTTCCATAGAACAATATGTTACCACAAGGCGGATAGCGAGAGCAAATGCAAGCTTAAACTTCATGCCAGCTGGAATGAATTATTAACAAAACAGAGACTGCAGCCACACAATACGTTTCGATCATAAATAATAGTTGACTTACCTGGCACGACACTTACGTGGTGTACGTGATAGCAGCTTATACAGAAAATCGCCTGCCACTTATGGCCACGCGCCATAGCACCACGCTACCGCCAACATCTGCCTGGTGGTAGTAAGTCGGACGGCGCTACTGTGGTGGTTTTTGGGTTTAATCCACCATCAGCGGCGTGGTATGCGGTGGCTGTAATGGGCATGGCACTTCCATGCGCCGTTAAAAACATGCACACATGGTCGAAAATAGAATGTGAGAGCATTACAACGCCTTGCTGCAATATCCCTGAATAGAAGACTTCTTTTGATCAGGCGGGATGTGTATGTAGATAAGAAGTGATCGTTCGCATTCGGATATTCCAATGACTTCTATGACTTCACCGAAATGAGAATATCGACATCTGAAGCCGATCATTCGGAAACATTCAACGGCCTGCTAAAGCATCCACAACAATTTACAGAGCATCGAGTGACAATCTTGGGCCTGATTGATAGCCAGAGTGACTCTGATGCACCCGTGGGTGAGTGGACAATACCGAGTACTTTGGCCCATTACCGAGATTTGGGTCCCAAAGAGAGCGGACGGCACGATAATGCTGGTTACACCATCGGTGTGCCGGGGCACTACAAAGCCTTTGTTGAAAGCAGAAATTTCCAGAATGCTGCATTGTTAACATCAAAAGCATTGCAACACAAAATACTTGATTAAATTAAAAACGAAGTACTCGAACGCATGCGCGTGCCCGCATGCGCGCATGGGCTGGAAAAAGGTTAGGATGGGGCGCTTTTTCCTGTTGTCTTACTCGTCTTACCGACGCAAGTGCCGAAAAGCTGACGTATTTCCCGTGTTGGCCTTCAACAATCATATTTCTGCTCGACTTGACCTCCTGTCAATTATCGATGGAAACGACGATTTGCATCATCGTCTCCCAGTTGTTATGCATTTGCCCGAATGTGTTAGGCAGCAGTTTATATTGAAAATGAAAAAAAATTGGAATGGGATACTAGATTAGGCCCACACGAATATCTGCATAGCAGAGCCAAACCGAAGGCTTAGCTTGAAAGAACGTCCAGGCACGTTCGACGCCGTTTTCCACAACAGAACGATCTCAACAGCTCGACAGGTGCGCGACCGTCCCGGAAACACTGGGCTGAGAGGACTGACCACACAGACCACGATGGCGTTCCCACGCTACCTCGCGTGACACTCACGAACCCGCACCCCATCCCCGCCGCCGCGCGCCATTCCCGCCGTTGTCGGCGTCGTTCGCGCGGTTTCCGTGGGAGCGGCGCGCGCCGGCGGTTCCGGTCATGCCCGGAAGTGCCGGCGCGTGACAGTCGCACACCGCGGCGGCGGTGGTGAGGACGCCGAACCCTGCACCGGCCGCGTGGCCGCGGTCGGTCGCGCGTGCTCCGCCGCGCGGGCGGAACGGCGGGGAGGCCGGCGCACTGGGAATAGATGCACTGGAAAGACGAGCGTACCATGAATAGATGCGCTTGAAAGACGAACTAGCGTGAATAGATGCTCTGGAAAGACAAACTACCATAAATAGATGCACTGGAAAGACGCACGTACCGTGAATAGATGCACTGGAAGAACAAACATTACGCACAGACGCACTGCACTGGAGAGACGAACGTAACATGATACAGTTGCACTGGAAAGACGAACGTGACGTGAAAAAAATGCACCGGAGAGATCAGAGCACTGTAAACAGGAGGAACATCAGTTTAATTTTCATGCTGCGTTTGAAGGATGTACCATGGACACTACCCACGGACACCGCAAGTGACCACAGTGCGTAGAGCTTACCGGCGTCAGTGTCCTCAGCAACAGAAGCAGAGTTACAGAGTAAATGTCCTCAATATTGGCCTTCTTAGCATAAGGTCTAAGGTCAGTGGACAAAACAACGTTGTATCGATATATTATCCAGTGCGTGAGCCACGGACCAAGCGGGCTCCAATAAGGACAGTGGATCCCCTTCGGGTCAGGTTAAGCCGGACAGTCTGGTCCCGACTTGTGCAATGTCCCCTCAGATATGCATCGTAAGGTGTCTCATGTGAGAGCATTTAGGGCTAAGTACTTAAAGCCTGGTCAACCATCGGGGTGGCGTGGGATTGTCCTCAATAAGCCAGTTGTTCAGTGAGCATAATATAGCTGAACAAAGCTCTATTAGGCTATTTATGAGAACTGAATACGGCCATGGATGTGGTGTTCAAATTCCGACGAATAGCCACGAAAATTGCGCACCAGTGTCTGCTCCTAAGCAGTTAACCATCACTGTTGTTTCACATTGGGCATATTTACCACGCCGGATGCCACCACAGTGGAGGTCCTGTCTGTCTAAACTTGACGTTGCTGAAATTCAGGACAGTGGCTCTGAGCCTTTCTGGACAGTACACAACCCTCCCGCTCTTCAAACCCACCCAACTGCCGGCACTGGTCGCTCTGAGCTCTTCTGGATGGCACACAACCCTCCCGCTCTTCAAACCCACCCAACTGTCGACACTGGTCGCTCCGAGCTCTTCTGGAGAGCACACAACCCTGCCACTTTTGAAACCCATTTCAATGCCATGTGATGAAAGGCTGCCAGAACAGGACGCATCTAAGGAGATCAAGATAAAGATCAAGCACCCACGGTCCTAATATTATGAACACTTGCAGTACTGTCAGTGTGTTTTCGAGTGCACTTTTATCTCGTTTCGAGCTATTTATACACATATTTGCATCGTAAAGTATCCTTTAGAAGCCCAACAGCCACTCCGCGCACAGACAAACTAAACACCAGTGCGGTCAACACCTCGTCGGCCGCGCCGTCCGAAACTGCGCCCTGAAACGGATTGTTCGGACTAACGAGAGCGCGCGCGCACCGCCGCCGGCGACCGCGGCGATTAAGGACGTTCCGGGAACGGCGCCGGCGACCCGACGCAGGCTCTCGGTCGGGCAGGCGGAGTCGCACCTGCCAGGCTGACGGCGCCTGGCCGCGTGAGGCGCCGGCGGGCGTCAGGGGTGCCTCAGGCGCCGCCGCCGCCGCCGCCGCCGCCGCCAGGTTATTTAAGCGCGCGGTGGGTTGAATGAACGCAGACGAGAGCGGTGCACGCGCTTGGGAGCTGCTCAGTGGCGATACACGCTCAGCGCCAGAAGCGAACACGGTAAGCGGGGGCGCGATGTGTGTTGGGTGTGGTTAGCGAATGATTGGTATTGCTTTGTTCACAGGACACCGTATACTTTGTTTTCCGGTGCCGACTAAAAAAGCAACGCAGGCAAGGCATAATGATCTGCGATAAATCTGGGGTCTTTGTTATCATTGAGATTTCTACCGACAACATCCTGCCGACAGTGTCCAAGCTACGCGTATGGCTATCTGGAATACGTGGTATCTACCATGCGGCTTATTGCTACGCATACGCATATTTTGATGACACGGAAATTAACGGCGTTTGTTTATAGATGAGACAGCACTAGAAGCCGTCTTCCTAGTGGAATAACCAGAACCTGTTTTTCTACCAGGAATAAGGCTGTTTATGCTGCCTCGCCTATATGCATAATTTTCTCTGCAAATGCGCTTAGCAACTTGCGTATTTGTTTATGCATAGGAATCAGGAACCGTAAGTTGTTAAGTGCATTTGTGAGGAACATTATGCATATAGATAAGACAGTAGAACTAGCCTTATTACTGGTAGAAAAACCATGGGAAGGGATATATAGATGATGGAGATACAGGTAAATGAGAGTGGAGATATCTATTTTTAAAAGAAACCAAATTAATGATGATACACCGCCACTTCCGCCAACATGCTATTTTTGGTGTACAAAACACCGGTATGTTGGTGGCGCGGTGGCCGACCCTTGTCTCGTTGGTCGGCAGGCTGATGTTCATCTGCTCACTGATCAAATGATCCCCGAACCAGCGGTGGCATGGAAAATCACAACAGATATGAACTACCGGCGTGATCATATCTTGCATCATGACAGTGGCAATGTCACGACTCCCACACACATGCTGGACCAGAAGCCATTTGAGGCTAAGCCGGTTCTTCCCGTCGGCAAACGTCAAATCTGTGGGCTATTGTCGTCGTCAACTGCCATCCAAGTGAATCCCAGAATTTATGAAAGCTTCAGGCGGCAGAAGACGCCCTAAGGATCTTATTATTCGATAAGCAAGCCCCTATACGGCTCCCAGGCGTTAGTTAAGCAGCTCCATCAGTTGATGCTGTCACGAGTCGATAATGATCAAGTTCAGATCGACAAAACTTGTCACCAGTCAGTTAGCCTCGCGCTGGCCTATCGTGGAGGCAACGGCATAAAAAGCTTACGACGTAAATAAAGAAACCCAAGAAAGACAAACCATTGACAGCGTTTTCCAGAATTACCCCGACCCGATTTTTGTCTCTTCGGGATGTTTTGTCCAGTGCTTTGAAGGCCAGATAGACGGGTACAAATGTGCGTTTTGAATAATAAGCATGGCTCTCTCCCGCCAGCACTTGGTCGATATTACACATAGACCATTTAACGAGCTACTCATTAGAGCATCCAGTCGACATCGTGTCTAGGACTGGTGCCAATGACTTTGATGCTGATGATGATTCCCACCCCATGATGTTTTGCCGCCCAGTGGGGCTGAATAAACAGTGGTCTGTTTAAAGCAGTTGCAGGCGATGCAGAGTATACCATTCTCTACCAGTCTGTTGGCGACTGCGTGCCTGACCTTATCGACCTGCCGCAGATGGTGCAGAAGCTGTTGCTGCTCGCGTGCCTGGTAGCAGCGTGCCTGTTCTTGCCGATCTTCCACAGATGATGCAGAAGCTGCTGTTGCTCGCCTGCCTCATGGCGACTTACCTGACCTCTTCGACCTGCCACAGATGATGCAGAAGCTGTTGTTGCTCGCCTGCCTGTTGGCGACGTGCCGCGCCCTCAGCACCAAGAGAGAGCGCGCGGAGGTGATCGACGGTCGAGTGGAGCTCGAGTACCAGGCCCGCATCACGGCCGTCAGGAAGGTCATACGCGAAACGGTGAGGGTCACGCCATCAAGGTCATATGTCTGACGGCCACGCGGCGGTAGCATCTGCGGACCGCCACACAGAAAATGTGTTAGGGTACTTTGAAATGACTCGGTGATGCGCTCTCACCCGTAAATGTTCAAGTTGTTGGGGGAGTTCCAAAAAATTGTCGCCCCCGATGTGCTTCAGCAACTCAGACAAACTGTGTGCCAGCAAGGCTCATCTGAAGTGGCTGACTGGCTTGTCCAACACACTACCGTGAGCTGGATTATTTGACCTGATCAGCGGACCTCCCACGGGTCTCACGTTTTGCATCCGCGGCAAACCGATTGGTGACCTCCGCCCCAAGCCATGCGGGCATTTTCTGGACCGCGGGAGCGATTATTTTTTGTCGGTAAAAACAAAGCTGGTGTATTAAGAACTATTTTATTTTGATTGACATCAGGAAATGTTACCGTTAAACAACTGTCATTGTGCATGCCAATTCAGCATTCTAAGGCGATCAAAAACGATTTCCAGCATTTCTTATGGCTGAGACTGTGCAAAGAGGAGTTTACCTATCTGTTGAGGCGTGAAGGAGTGCTATGGCATTGCAACTCGTTACGACATTGTTCCCAGTTGTGTGGGCCAAACATGCGGTGGCCAGACTCAAACTCGGGTTACAGAGGTAATAATTCAATGCGTTGATGATCGCCGTACTCATTTTGCGCCACAGCGCCGGCTGCTTCGTTGTTACGCGGCGTAGCTTCATCACGCGTGTGCTTTGTCTCTGACTAGTACATGGCCAAGGCGGTGAGAGCAATGAAACATCGGTCCCTATCAAAGGACGAAAGGTAAACATTCTCCACCAGGTCTGATAGTCGGCAGATCGGCGTGATACTCAGCTTTTACTCTTTCTTAGAAGTCACACCGAGTCCGCCCCCGTGATGCGGGGTTTGCGCGCGTCCTCGGTGCCTCAGAGGAAGTACTTGAACTCGGGAGTGACGCTTCACCAACTTGCCGTTCGAAACACACCTGCTGTGATGCAGTGCTTATGCCAACAAGTTATAAACAGCTCATCATCTCAGCCTGTGTGTGTACTTATGCGTTTTTTAGACTGAGAATGTTTGCTGTGAATTTAGAGGGCTTGCAGTTTAGTAGTTTCTCATTTATATTCGAAAACGTGTCCCCTAAATGGACCGTCCAACAAAACCACCTGCCGGAATCTTTAGCGCCACCTTTCCGCTCCTCATTTAAAGTCTATAATTTCAAAAGATGGTGTGATTTTAAATTTGTTGCCGTAGAAATTGAAACCCAAATCGTCATCGCGCACTTTGTAGAGCGCTCGAAGGCCCGACTCCGATTTTAATACATGAATTGAGGTGGAATCTTACCGGACCCATTACCAAACTAAATCAGCAATTGAAGCCAGATGGTGTGCCAGTATCCAGTATCCATAGCGAAGCGGGTAATGTTAAATAAATGCTTGGCTTCTCCTATTGTGGCCCTAATCCGACGATCAGCTGACTTAGTCTCGGGCTTGCAGGAGTTTGTCACCAAGACGCAAACCATTATCGACTCGCCGTACTGCGTCAGCTACGCCAAGGACCTGCCGGCCTGTACGCCGACAGAACCCATCAAGCCCAGCAGGACCATGCGGTGGGTGCCTCGAGGACCTGAAGCCACTGCCATGCTGGCAACGACCGTGACCTCTTATGCAGACGTGCCAATAGTCGCACTTAATGTGTCAAGACATATGTTGTTAATGCTAAAACCGAGATGGCGCCACCACTGTTCTCAAGGTCCTTCACCTGGAGGGGTCCAAAACTATTGGGCACTTCTCTTGTTCCTTGATGTGTTTATTCCCAGTGTAAGTGTTCAATGTGAAAGCACTGATCGCTCTGTTTTGGCCCCGAACTACGGATGTCGTGAGCTGCAGCGACCATCTGTGATATCCTCCGACGACCCGCGGGACGTCGGGCATAGCCCACAAACTTTGGTGTGTTGAATCACATCTGAGGTCCATGTCTGGTGTGCTAAAAAGCTTAACGCCCTTGATTTAGTCGTTCTGTGTTGCCTTTTTTGGTCATGGACAGACCATGAAAACACGTCTGGAAGCGCGTAATTGGCTGGATCGTGAGGATGTTGTAGTGTTGAGCTTCCTCGTATATTTTGGTGTGAGCATACCTCTCGTGTGCTTTTGATGCGTATGTGTTGAGAAGTCCATATGAACCTTATACCTATACATATATATGTGTGTATATATATAGATATAGATATAGATAGATAGATAGATAGATAGATAGATAGATAGATAGATAGATAGATAGATAGATAGATAGATAGATAGATAGATAGATAGATAGATAGATAGATAGATAGATAGATATATGTATATATATATATATATATATATATATATATATATATATGTATATTTATATATATGTATATATATATATATATATATACATATGTGTGTGTGTGTGTGTGTGTGTGTGTGTGTGTGTGTGTGTGTGTGTGTGTGTGTGTGTGTGTGTGTGTGTGTGTGTGTGTGTGTGTGTGTTCAAAACTGTGTCGCGAACCTCATAGCAAGCCATAGCCTCATCATGACCCGATGCCTAGACCACAGCATCCCTTCTCGGAATTCATGTACGTGCTCACCGCCAAGCCTGCACTAACCAGCATCTCAGTGGGTGCCCACCTCACGCCACACATTTCACATCTCACATATCACACCTCACACCTCACACATCATACTCCTTACCTCACGCCTCACACGCCATACCTCACACATCACACCTCACATCTCATACTTCTTACCTCACGCCTCACACGCCATACCTCACACCTCACACCTCATACCTCACACCTCACATCATACCACACGCCTCTTACCTCACACCCCGCACCGCACACCCCATATCTCTCACCTCACACCACTCACCTCACACCTCATAACTCACACACCATGTCTTATACCTCACACCTCACACCCCACACCTTACACTTTACACCTCACACCTCATACCTCACACCTCATACTCCACATCTTACACTTCACACCTCATGCCTCGCACCTCACACCTCACACCTCATACCTTATACCTCATACCTCACACCTCATACCTCACACCTCACGCCTCACACACTGATCTTGGCCGGCAGGCGAATGGCTAAGTCTGTGGCGCCGGAGGTGGTGGCCGCCGCCGGGCCGCCGCCGACCATCGACGCCAGCATCGACGGCGACCTACAAGTCATCGAACTCGTCGGCGTGGACGAGAGTTGCATGAACCAGGACGAGGGCGTCACTTTCCTCACCACGCTGCTGGAGACGCAGACGATGACGGTGACGCGCACTCGGCCTGGCGCGCAGACCGTCACCATCAGCATCGACGGCTGCCTGCCATCGCCGATGCCGTTCAATGCACCCACCTGCTAGGCGCGACGTCTGGCGGCGGTGGGCGGAAGCGATGGTATAGGTGGCGCTGGCGGCACGCCGCGGACAGCTGGTGATGCGGGTGTGTCGTGAGAGCCGCGATCGTGGCTGTCAGATGAGTGCGAGTGAGTTATTTGCCGTTAAGGCTGGTCAGTATTTTTGGGGGTGCAGGCCGACACGCAGCATGGGGTTGTGATGAATTGTTGGCTCTCTTAGTACCTCACGGTTATAACCCTGTGATTTAGAGGCATTGTTTCGATGCTGTTTTCGTTTGTTACGACTGCTTCCTGGACCATGAGAACACCGGTGGGAACTTGTCAGGAGGCTCTGTTGAAATTCAGAGGACATTGGTTGTTCCTAATAAACATGCAAACGAATTGTGCGTGTTTACCGCAAGAGACCCGCTGTAAGGCAATGTAGGGCTGACTCCAACGTAATCTGCCAAGTTAACCGCCAAAGTCAGCACCCGTTTAAAATTTATGGCGCCGTTGTGTGTCAGAACACGAAAAAGTCGGCAACAAGAACCATCTGTGATAATCTAAAGATGCAATGTGATACAATACCAACATTGTGTCAACCTTTTTACCGCCAGCCACCAGGTGTACAACTTTAATAGACCTCCATCACTTAAAACAAAGCAAAGGGATCTCGATGTTGATACGGGCTTCCGGTTATTAACAGCTTTATCACCTTGCCTCAGAAACACTGGCCCTCTTTCACCCGCAGTGCTCATCATTGCTTCGAGGCTTGCGCTGTTGCGCCAGACCAGAGTCAGTCACCTCCCGTTGGGCGTTGCACCACCACCAGCGTGGATGAATGGGAAGCGCGTCGCAAATCAGCGTGTTGTCAGCTTTACTTCCACAGCTGCTGACGTGCAGACATCTCGAGCCAAGTGCTGTACAAAGGCTGGCACGCGGTGAACGACAAAGCATTAACGTTGGAGTTCAATGAGAAAGGACATTCGGAAGGCTAGGAAAAGTGTACAAGGACATTGGCAACGAAAGGACACCCGGGGCACATGAGGGATATATTTAGGATGCGAGTGAAAACTTAACGTCATGGAGGGCAGTTGTCAGTAGCGATGCCTATCTTTTGACACATTTGTATACGTATATATGAATATACACACGCATAGTATATATATATATATATATATATATATATATATATATATATATATATATATATATATATATATATATATATATATATATATATATATATCTCTCTCTCTCTCTCTCTCTCTCTCTCTCTCTCTCTCTCTCTCTCTCTCTCTCTCTCTCTCTCTCTCTCTCTCTCTCTCTCTCTCTCTCTCTCTCTCTCTCTCTCTCTCTCTCTCTCTCTCTTCTCTCTCTCTCTTCTCTCTCTCTCTCTCTTTCTCTCTCGCTCTCTCGCTTTGTCCGTGCCTACCGCAGTTGTCTTCTCCCGGCTCCCGGTAACAGGACAGCGATATATCACGCTGGTCGGAGGGCACACGCCGCCGTCACTGCCACAGGGCACAGTGGACTAATGAGCCTCGTCAGTTGGCCACGACGATCCGGTGGTGGGGGCATTCAAGGGTGAGGTTTCCTTTGCGAGTCCACTCGGTACACATAGCCTGTGCCCATGTAGCTTCCGTTCCATGATCAGCTGTACACTTCCGTCACTCACCACTTGCATTTTTTTTAGTTGCGCTTTAGTTAAATATTATGGATATAAACTGGTCCATGACATGAGATCGCCCGTGCGCAGATTGCATGTCCATGACATGATATGTGAACAGCAAAACTTACCCCGCTGCGTCCACAGTGGCAAAAGTGGTGTGAATGACAACAATTTGACTAAGGGAGGCGCAAGGCGTAAGAATTGTAGCACTTCTTGACATGTGTGTTGGACACTCCGTAGATTCTTTCCACGCGCCCGGATGGTGGAGTCTATTTGACCCCCCCCCCCCCCCGTCCCCCCCGCAAGGTTTTCCCGGAATGGTTTCCAAGCGGCAGTGGCGCAGCCGCGCCTCGTGTTGCATAATTGTAGGCAACTGAAAAGCGTATTATTTGCTTCAAAAATTTATATGTACCTTTTTTGTTGACCTACGGCAGGTCAAAATCAGGCCGTTGACCTACGGCAGGTTAAAGTCAGGCCGTCGATTCCGCGAAGTCAATAGGGAATCGTTCAATCTGATGCAACAAGGGAGTGTTAGACGAGCCCATGCACCTCTGAGATTACTTTCTTAGACACACAACAATTGAATGAACAAATTCCACTGACCTAAAGCCAGTTACAAAGGTCAGAGCAAGGTCAAAACCAACCTGTTTTATCACTCGAGGGATCGCTATATGGGGTAATGTCTGGTATTCATTTCGGATATATTGATAAAAGGAACCGCATTACACACCTTACATGGACTTCCTAAGGTCAGAATAAATCACTGACCTAAAATGACTCAGGTCAACATTTTTTTCTTAGGAATATCCTGCCTAGCGTAATCTTTGTCGCTAATTCAAATGCAAAACTCAAAGCAGTCTTGTATGATTCTCGTCACCATCACCTTCCAAAAGGATAAACAAGGTCACTGACCTTAAATGAGCATGTGACTTTTTGCTTGAAACAGGTATCAAGGTTCTGGGGGGCACCTTTGAGGCTAACCTGGAGTTTGAACTCATTTGACCTTATTTGACCTGAAGTTCATGACCTAGGAACCTCAGACTTTGACCTAAGTGAGTTCACGTGCAGGCCAACACACTCCGTGAATTCGATGTCTCTAGCTCTGTTAATTCCCGAGATCTCAGTTGGGTCAAATTGACCACTCACCTGAGCGGAGGGTATTCAACTGGCCACCCATACTCGTATTCCTGCCCGAAAATTTCCCAAAAGTTTGCACCCAGCCCGTCACCTATTCCATATGGGTACCCACGAGTTAACACAGCCCGCGAAGTCACCTGTAGTCGGGCATAGAGCACTCGGCACAGGCCATTGGAAGCGTCAGACAAACGTCCAGATTTGTAGTGTACGCGAAAAGCTCGACACATCTTCAAATCTATGATTCGATGAGTTAGTCAAAGTGTGGATTTCGAGGTCGGCAGCAGTCGGCTGTATCCTCGTGACCTCGAAATTGGAACGGATGCACGTGCATCCGGGATGCTCTCTGCGGATTTCCAACACTATCAAGGCCACGAAACCACAAAGGATGTCCAGGCGCTTCTGGGCTCATAATGCTAATGATGATTTTCCCAGTAGCCTAAGAGCCATCCGGTGCAGCATAAGTACCGTGGTTTGAGTCACCTGAAAAGCTACTTGCTACCATTTTGAAATCAAAGACAATGTTGGCCGTCATAAAGTCACAGAAGTCGTTTTGTTGAATCTTTTTTTTAAATTTAACGTCAAATAGCTCGTGGGTTATTCGCCGGTGCTGCCGCTGGGTTTGGCTGTCGACATTGCACTTGCAACAAAATTCTAAATTGTCGATTTACGCCCGAGGCGTCCGGCCTCGCGTGTCAAGGCCGGTCAAGTCTGTGCCCGGGTCTGTCAAGGCCGGTCACGGTCAAGGCTGTGCCCGAGGCGCCCGGCCTCGCGTGTCTCGCTTGGCGAGCGTGGTAAGAGTTCACTTGTTGCCTATGTTGGCCAGCGAACGTGAACTCCACAGGCGGCGGGCGTGCGGCCAGTAGCAACAGCACGCCTGCACGTGTGTGCCGATATAGCTCCGAAGTTCGGTGCTAAAACCTTAATTTCGGCCCCCGACGATGTTTAGAATGACGCTCGTTCTAAGCTTCTGCTTGCATGAGTGCGAGACGTAATGAGCGTGATTTAGGGCCGGGAGTCTATTTCACTGGCAGGCTATGGAGGGTCTTTAGATTAAAACGCTACGTATCCCGCTAGTGACGGTTGCTAACATGCGATAGGTGTTTGTACCCACTTACCCTTAGGAAGCAGACCATAGCCTGACGCATGACTGCAGTGTGGCGCGGTAATTTAACCACGCCTGTAAGGAACAACAAACAGTGAGCCAAGATGCGGGATGACAAACGATGTAAACTCAACAACCGTACGGCTGAGTAAGGGAGCACTCCAGCACCCCTTCCGCCTCACATAAACCGTGCAGATCGCAGCTGCGGAGCGCCCGGACCTTCACATCTGTGAGAGCCGCGGCCCGAAAGGCCGTGCCGCGAGGATAACTACGACGCCATCGGCACCTGGAGCACGAGACGAATGGGTGTGGCCGTCGGCGAGCAACGGTTCGACCCATGCGTCATCGCCTGAGGGAGTGACGGGGATAAATCACATGGGCCCGATGGCTATGGTGGAGTCTGAAGGAGCCTGTCGGCCCCGATCGGCGGGCTTGGGCCGCGGCGGGGCGCGCAACACTCGGACACCGGCAGACGTCCGCAGCGTGCGGGTGCTGTGAAGCTCCCGGCTCCGGTCTTGGGACGACCGCGGCCTGTCGCAGTTAGGCTTTTGGGGGCTGTCGTGTAATCTGTTGCGGTTAGTGGGATCGCCGGGAGTGGGCCAAGGCAGCCGGAGGTTTGTTGAGCTTACGAATCCTGAAAAAGCATGGCCTAATTATGACACAGAAGTTTTCCTTGTCTTTTTTAGACATGGTGCTTCGATTTAAGCTCTTGCTTTTAAACCTTTCTGATTCATTGTCGCATTCTATTGCAGATGATAATGGTGGTGATGATGTTGGTGATGATGGTGGTGGTGGTGATGTGATGATGACGATGATGATGATGATGATGATGATGATGATGATGAGAAGACTGAGTTTCAGAATAAACTACGAGCCTCAACGCGGCGGAGACGTCAAGTGTAGTATAAGGCCCCGAAGGATCCACATAAACATCATTCAAGGGGATCGCCGTTTACGATCCCGTCTATCCTGGTTTATGGCGATGAATGACCAGGATGCCCGTAAATGTCGTCAGAGGGAACGTCCGATGTATAGGCTTGCTAGGGCAGGTCAAATCTATGGCAATCCTTACATAGAAGGTGACGGACTGGACTGGGTAGAGATTGCTGAAGGTCACAGGTGTGAGCATGGGCGTAGGGAACAGGGAAGGGGGGGGGGCGCAGGGGGCCATGCCCCCCCCACACACACTTTTCAAGGTGGGGGCCAGCAGTGTTAACTGCCCCCCCCCCCGCACTTTTCAGATTAAGGCTGCATTTTGCTTACTTTCACACCACATTTAAATAAAATGCCGATTTACCTAGTTCACCAGCCATCTTCCTCAAGATGCGTCATCTTTTTCGTTTGCTTATTGGACATCGCTCAGTGTCCCAACCGCAGGCCGACGCCAGTGCGGCCTATGGAGGCTGCAACGCCGGGCGTTCAGGCCGTTGTTGCTATGACTTGCGAGCTCGTATGTTCAAAACCATATAACAGTTTTTTATCAGTCATCCATTCT